GCTCCGAGGTCGCGGGCTAGCCTTAATCCCGCGAGAAGTGCCTCGTACTCCGCCTGGTTGTTGGTCACTTTGAAGCCAAACTTAAGGGATTGTTCCAGAGTGACTTGGTTTGGTCCCTCCAATATGATGCCTGCACCACCACCCTTAGAGTTGGAGGATCCGTCCACATGTAAGGTCCACACCTGAGGTTCCTCGGTAGTGGTAGGCGTGAGCTCGGCTACGAAGTCGGCCAGGCACTGGGCTTTCAGGGGTCCGCGACTTTCATACTGGATGCCGAACTCAGACAATTCTACTGACCATGCAATCATCCGTCCGGCGAGCTTGGGCTTTCGCAGAATTTGCTTGATGGGGTAGTCGGTTTTGACTACCACCTGGTGACTTTGAAAGTAGGGTCGGAGACGCCAAGCTGCGGTGACAAGTGCTAGTTCCAGCTTCTCGATCATCTGGTATCGCTTCTCCGCATCTTGGAGGACTCGACTGATGAAATAGATTGGTGTCTGCACTTTCTGGTGCTCTTGTACTATTACTGCGCTGATAGCGCCTTCTGCTATGGCCAAGTAAAGAAGGAGGTCGGTTTTGTGATCCGGCCTCTGTAAGATCGGCGGGATTGTGAGGAAGGTTTTGAAGCTTCGGAAAGCTTCTTCGCACCGATCCGTCCATTGGAATTCTTTTGGTTTTCGCAGCAGGGTGAAAATGGGCCCTGCCTTTTCCGCGAGTTTGGGGATGAAACGGGATAATGAGACCAGCCGTCCAGCTAGGCGTTGGACCTCTTTCACCATTTGTGGGCTTTGCATCCGTATGATTGCTTTACACTTCTCGGGATTGGCCTCAATTCCTCTGCTAGTGATCATGAAGCCGAGGAACTTGCCTCCTTGGATGCCGAAGACACATTTCTCCGGGTTGAGGCGCATGTTGTGCTTCCTGACATGGGCGAATACTTCGGCGAGGTCGGCAGCATGGTCTGCTGCCGAGGTGGTCTTGACTACAATGTCGTCGACGTAGACTTCCATGTTCCTCCCGATCTGTTGTTGGAAAACCTTATCCATCAGCCGCTGGTAGGTTGTGCCTGCATTTTTGAGGCCGAAGGGCATCACCCGGTAGCAGTAGTTGGCGTGGTCGGTGATGAAGGATGTATGCACTTCGTCAGGTGGGTGCATCATTATCTGGTTGTACCTGGAGTAGGCATCGATTTTAAAAATATTTTTAAATATTTAATAATTAAAAGAATGAAAAGATAAGAGATAAGATAAAATATATAAGTAAAATAAGAAAAATAAATATGAAAATTTTCAAATTCTTACTTTTTTAGGAGAATTTAAAATTCTACTATTTTAAGAAATTTTATAAATATTTAAATTTCAAAATCTTTGTAAATTCTCCATCCAAATAAAACATTTCACTTCAAAGAATTTGAAATTCTTCAAATAAATAAATTATCTTATTTAAATTTCATATTGAAACACACTCTAAAATATTGATTGTTGGCCCACGTGACCGATACGGTCTCTCCGGTACATGTTCATTTTTATTTTTTATTTTTTTATACACACTTAAGCACAAAATGTCTTTATTACACTAGTTCCATGTAATCTCCATGAAAAATTTTGCGAGAATTGTGCATAATAAATTTGGTTGAGAGAGAGAGCCTTGGAACAGCGAGAAATATTAATGAACTAATGCACTGACAAAATTTTCAATCTTAAACTGTTTAGATGCATGGTAATTCATATAAACAGTTGGCTATAAACAACAAAAGAAAAGGAGATGGAGGATGACAAAGGGTCAAAAAGAAATTGCTTTCTAGGCCACATGTAATCAATATTTCAAGCCACACAACAACGAAAAAACTGGCATCTCATGGTAATAAACTGGAATGGTAATATCCCATATAAAGCTAAATGGACATAAAGTGAAGTAAAGATTCCTCTTGTAAATTGGAGGAAAACTAGGTCCAACAGCATCCACCACAAAATTTACTTGCGCGCTTCAACCTTCTTCTGTTCTTTGGCTGCAACAAAACTTGTTATCAGTTTAAACTTTCAAGCAATAGGGTATAACCAAAAAGTGAACACACCAAATAGTATTTCAAGCTTACCGGCTTTCTCTTCTTCTCGTTTTTTAGCAGCTTCTGCCCTTTGTTGACGTATAAGAGCTAAACGTTCTACATGCAAGAAAATAGAACTATCATGAACCAACTAATCCAAAAGCTTTAGTTGTTAGATAAAAACATTTGAATTGTTTCATATCTAACACACTCCCTCACACAAGTGTCCCTTGGATTTGAAGCATGAATAAACTCTAGGCTACATAGTCATAGAGGCTCTAATAATGTCATGAGCTAACAATTACAAAAGTTTAAGCTGTTGGGTGAAAGCACATTAATGATTTTATATCTAGCAAGAACATTAATCATTGAGAAATGAAAACTCAACATAGAAGAGAAGTATTTTAAACTTTAATTAGAGACAAATGATACATTGTGCTTGTCATTTATCCCTGTAAAAGTATATTTTATTTCCATTAAAACGTTATTTGAAGAGCAACTAGTACCTAAGTCTTTCTTTGATTGTTCTGTTTTTCCTTGCTCTTGCAGCCTCATATAGCGCTCATGAGCTCTCTGTTTCTCTATCTCCTCTCTGAAAACAGGTGGAAAATTTTTAAGATATTAGAAAAACCTGCTAATGTAGAAGCTTCGCCTTCAATATATTGTCAATTTGGTACTGAAGAAATAAGATGAAAAAGAGTACATGGCACTCCTTTAACCATAAGCAACACCATCTTCCAAGTGTGTGATTATCACTACTGTAAACAATATACAAAATAAACAAAACATACCTTTCACGCCTTGAAAGCTCAGTAGTTTTCCCAACCTGCATTGGGAATGAATTAGCATTATTCTTTAAATATAAATAAATATAAATTTAATTACTAAATATACACTAAGAAAGGACCATTAATGGAAAGGTGGACTTACATCAACATCTTTAGCTTTCAAGTTCTTTGGCTTTACCAAGTTAGGGTTTTCAATCTCAATAACCCCTTGAGTACCTTTTGTCTTCTGCAGACAATTTATAGCATTAATACAGTCAACTTCATGTTGATGGAGGTAGATCTTGGAAAGAAATAAAACACAGAAAACAGCAAAATCAAAAGAATAAAAGAATTGCAATCCCTTTGTATAAGTAAATGGTTATAAAATACTAACAGTTGTTTCATCTTCAGATTCTTCTTCAGATTCATCCCCAGAGACTTCCTCGGACACCTCCTCTTCATGCTCAGCTTCTTTCTAACAAGATCATAGAAATAATGACAACATTAAATAACATTGATTTGTAAAACATCTAAAGTAAACGGAAAACAACTTAAGACAAATGAGGTATGGATAAAAAAGAATTGACAGGTTGCAACCAAAGGATGCAGAACCAGATCCCTGCAGTCCCCAAAAATCTGTAGGCTGTGCAGTTTAATTCAACAGCCAAAACTATATTTGTCCTAAAACTTAATGATAAAAAAAGGTTAAATTTTAAGGGCTAAGATCCCTCTAGTTCATTTTAAACTACAGAGGATTCTCCCATTAAAATTCCATATATAATAAAAGTTGATTTCCAAAGTTCGTTTATCATGTTGGATCAAATTTACTCAACTTATATATCAACAGAAATCAAATTTACATTAAAATAGTACAATATTTCTGAAACTAAATCAGGTTTTAAGTATAGTGGATAGCAAGGATAGCTTTTTCTTTTTACACCATTTCAAAATTTTGTCAACTATTAACTAAAACTTCATTCTAATTCCATCAATAAAAAGAATATGCTATTAAGATGTTTGTGAAGTCTGCACAAAACTACCCCTTGCACAATTGATCACACGTGTGTGTACGTGTGAATGAGAGGTAAATATAGGGGGATGAATCAAGGGTAGGAGTAGGGGACAGAAGAAAACCTGTTTAAAAGACCTAGGACGGGTGGAGGTGCCAGCAACTGCAGTAATCATAAGAAATATCAAATTTTCAGAACCTCTTTCTTAAATCTTTTCCCTGTAAAGAAACATAGTTTCTTATTCCTTTATCTGTTTGTCTAATACTCTAATGTCATTCACGTCTCATTTAGTAGTTTCACAAAAAAAGGATCACCAAAAGTACAAAACTCAACAATAAATTTCACATGGCAGGAAGCTAAAAACAGTAAATTGAATTCAATTCAAACAACGAGACCTTCAGAAAGCTTAAAACCTACACTCCATTCAGATCTAATGGTCCCATAAAAAAATAAAACAAAAAATAAATAAATAATAAATCTCCCTGTGAAAAATTGAAAACACACCCACAAACGAAAACAACATTGAAATTACCCTCTTAAGCCAAAAAACAGATTTTGTAAAATAGATTCCGCGAAATGCAAAGCACACCCACCAACAAAAAAATATAAGATAAATTGAAATTATCTCATCAGAGCAAAGATGTAAAATTTTGAGCATAAAATGAAAATTGGTTGATTGAATTGTGCTTACTGAGATCCTCCCGGGTGGAAAACTGACGGCGACCGGTGGGCTTGCTCTTGAATTTTCCCCTTCCCATGGTGGAAAGTGCAAAGTGGAAAGGACCCAAAGTCACAAATTTTATTTGTTTTCCGCGGATAATTGCAATCTAAGAGCCTTCGCTGGAATCGAATTTCAGTTATTGGACAAGGGAAATGCACTTTGTTCAAATCCTTTCAGTTTATGGGAAACCCTAATCATTTCTGTTTTCAACTGGAACACTTTCGGTGATCCAATCTGATTTTTTACGATTAATTATTTAACCTTTGAGTTAATTTATCATAAATACATAATTGATCGATTTTATTTGCTTATTTGATTTTGATGGTTTTTTTTTTTTTTTTAACTTGATGGTGTAATTTTGAGTAATAAGTAATTTAAAAAAATCTAGAAATAAATAAATCATGTTTCTTATATACGAAATTTAATTTAATATAAAAATTGTGTTTGAAAACATGATTTTCCTATTTATAATTTTAAGATTTTTTTTAAATTTAAAAATTAAAGCCGTGTTTAATAACATAATTTTCATAAATACTTATCTTTAAATTTTTTATTTTATTTATTTTTAATTTTTTTTACAAAAAATAATGAAATTGTGTTTATTCTTGCGAATTTTTCTTTTTAAAAATAAAAAAAAATTGAAAGTCATGATTGAAAACACAACTCTCCCTCCCTTATTTTTTTTTACTTTTTAATTTTTTTATAGTGTATAATATTTTTTAAAATTGGAATAAATTTTCTAAAAAAATTATTTGCTTCACTATTAATAATTAAACCCAAGACATAGAATTTTTTAAAAATTAAAATAAATTTTCTAAAATTACTATTAATAAAATCTAAATATGTATATATATATAATAGTAAACTTAATTTTATAATATTAATTTAATTTTATAATATTAAAGCTAATATTCTTCATATTTAATATAATTTTATATATTCTTTTTAATTTTTCTAAAATACTATGATCATAACATCAAACCATGATAAAATTAATAATGGGATCATATCCCACTAGAAGGTATTATTCGTTCACATTGTGGTCTTGCTCCTCTTCCTCTAACTCTAGGGCCACTTCATTGTTGTACTTGACTTGTAAGCCCTTCTCTTGTTCTAGGACCAATGTGTAATTGTTTGTCGTTGTAGTGAGGTTATAAGATGATAAATTTTATGACTATCTTTATCATTATTATCATTATCATTGTCATTAACATTGTTAGTATCATCCTCCTCATCATCATTCGTGTTACGCATTTTAGTAGGCAGTATGGGACAATGATAGTCCATCATTGATGGTGTTAAGTTGTATGCAGACAACGGTGTATAAAAGAAGTCACAAATATTTGCAAGGATAATGTAGATGTTGTGTTGAAAGAAGTTGCAAACATTTGCAAGTGTAACATAAAGGTATTTGATTCGTAAGGAACTAAATAAAATGAATATTGAGGCACATATGTAGAGAATCCCTATGGTTGAAAACTTTGTTCACTGTTAGGGCATATAGCAAGAAAATCCTGCTAATTGATAAGTAAATTGTGGAAGTGATTATTGATGTTGGGACATATATTCAAAAGCTAGAGCCGGTTGATCAATAGATTGTGCATGATGATCCAGAAAATTAGGTTATGCATGTCATTGTTCATCCTAAAAAACCAAGTCTAATAGGTTCAAAGACAATAATGTTAAGCAAATAATATATACAAATAATTATATATATATATATATAAGTAAACTTACTTCATCTAAGGTTGGTGGTGACTCCAAACGTGATATATAACATCTAGTTCTTGGTATAAGCCATTGTATGTATTCAAAATTTTCAAATAAAAGACCTCTATGTTGTTCACCTTCAAAACGATTATTTTGATCATTCTACATTTCAATCCATTAATGATGATAGTATGACAACTATTTGTCTGTTTTAATACGCATATCAATTTTGTGGAGTTGATCCAAGTTTGGTGGGTTGTGAAATATTTTATTATAACCCAAATTGTCTCAATACCTTGTTGATTGGATGTCACTCTACAATTGCAAAACATATAAGAGGTACCCTTGTACAAGCAACAGGACTCAATTAATTAACCGTTTCATTTGAGGTTTCCGATATGGCGTCCATAGAAATTATAAAAGGTTAATGTTAATGCAATTTGCAAATATTTTTTACTAATAAATAGATAAATGATTTAAAAAATAAATAAAGTCAACCTCTTTTTTGACGTAATCGATCAAATAATATATGTATCAATTTTACTACATATGTGGGAATGTCAGTTTTTTCCATCAGGCGAGACCACCTTCAATCATATGAAAACACTTGTTATTGTTAATATATAATTTAAATAAAAAAAATTAGACATAGAATAAGACATATCTACGTGCAAAAGGAAATCCAAGTGCTTGTTCAACATCTTTGTTTGAGAACTCTTTAATACGTAGAGCGATGCATGTGGTCTAATCTCACATCCATGATTGCAAAAGTAAAATGCATTCTCCAATATTTGTCTCTTTGGGTAATGTTGCATCTAAAGCTCGATATAATGAAGCCAATACTACTGAATCTCAACTACAATTTCTAACAATTGTCAAGTCTTGTAATAATAACAAATACATCATATGAACTTTTGATGTTGATGTATTTGGCATTAGAAATCCACCTATAAGCATCATTATATGAGCTCTAACGTGTTGTGCAATGACTACATTAGCATCATTAGGTAGTTGTTGGAATTGAGAGCTAAGCCATGATAAATAAATGGTGTTGTCTTTAATGTGTTCACTACCTAAAGTAACATTTCACAAACAAGAGCCAAATTACCATTGTTTTAACCAATGATAGGCTCGCCATCAATTAGGAGGCCAATGAGGAAAATGAAATGTTTGTATTTGAGTTCTCCAACATTATACTAAAGTTGTGACTATATGATGATTTATCTCAATTTTTGCAATGGTAAAGACATGACCAAAACCATATTGATCAATTAATTGTGTCACACGAGGATCTAATGAGGCTAGATTTTTGAAAGCTTATATAGCATGACATCTTGGATAAATCAATCTATCAAGTCCCTCCCATATTTTGGTTATGATATGAGTATTTTGAAAGCACAATAATGATCCATTGACTAGTCCACATTAAGCATTTGCCATATTCTTGAAGTGAAGGTATAGAAGTGATATGGAGTGAGTGAATGTGAAAGAAGGTGTAGAAATGAGAATATATTTATTCAACACTAAGAGAGTATATGCAATCACTTCAACTTTAAGTTGCGAGTGTATATGCAATCACCTCAACTTTAGGTTGTGAAAATATATGTATAGTCATGAGTGTGGAGAATATATTCATAGTATGTGCAAACATAGAGAGAATATATTTGTGATCATGGGAAAACTACATTGCCAAAAAGGAGAATATATTGCATGTAGAATGTATGCATTTCGTTCACATGTATGGACTAAAAGCAATGAAGTAGTAAAAACAATAGTGTATTCAAAGCAATAATGTCAAAAAGGAAAAGTAATAATGTAGTAAAAGAAATATTGTAATCAAAGCAATAATTCCAAAAGGCAATATTGTACTAAAAGTAATAAGGTTAAGTCTATCATATTTGGATCATTCACATGAATCTACACTTAGTATGCTATACTTGGTACTTGTAATATGTACGTGATGGTAAAATAATATGATAATAAAATATTACATCACAAAAAATCATGTAGTCATGTGTTATTTATAACCATAAGTATTGCATGTATAGACTCAACTTCTACTCACTAACTTTTATTATTTACTTTTACAAATGTCCACAAGAGACAATGTTAGTGAGTTCAATGAGGATGAACAAGAGTATGAAATGCATGGTGATTTTACTAGTGAAAGAGAAGTACATGTAACTCTATCTCCATTTTATCATAACATTAATAATCAAGTTTTAGAAGAGTCAAAGTTCTCAAATCGTTACAGGAATACTAGTAGCAAAAATAATGCACCAAGTGAACTATGGGTTGGCAGGCTTTTTGACTCAAAAGAAACAATTGTACTTGCAATTAAGCAGTTTTATATTGATTGCTCATTTGATTTTATTGTTGAAAAGTCCAAGTCTGACAGGTATGTTGGTAGTTGTACAAAATATGGAAAAGGATGTGAGTGACAAATTAGAGCATCATTTAGTAAATTTTGCAATAAATGGGAGATAAAAAAAATTAATAGTGTCCACACTTGCACAACTTCAATAATTTCTTGAGATCATCATAAGTTAGACTCAAATGTAATTGCTAGTGATATTCATGGATTAGTAAATGCAAATCCTAGTATTCTAATAAAAACTTTGATTGCTGAAATTAACTTGTCATGATTATATTGTGATGTACAAAAAGAAATTACAAATGGTTTTGGAGATTGGGAAGAATCTTACAATGAATTTCTTAGATGGTTGGAAGTTGTCCAAAGGTATGTACCAAGTACAATTGTTAAATACAAAACTTCTACCATTGTCATTGATGGTGAGGAAGGTTTCTCAATTTTTATTCTTGATCGTGTGTTTTGGTCTTTCAAACCATGTATAGAAGGTTTTCAATATTGCAAGTCAATTGTACAAGTTGAGGTACATTTTTAACAAGAAAACATCATGGCACTTTGTTAATTGTTATTACACAAGACAACAATCGAAACTTGTTTCCACTTGCATTCTCAATCGTTGAGGGCAAGACAAAGGAAGCTTGTATATGGTTCTTGCATTATTTGTGAAGGCATGTTGGACCGCAATCAAATTTATGTATTATGTTAGATAGGAGAAAAGTTTATTAGCAACTTTACAATCAAAACAAGTTAGGTGGAATAGTCTAGGTGTACATTCAATGTATTGCATTCGACACATTGCATCGAATTTTAATAAAACATTTCATAATGTTGAAGTGAAAAAATAAGTCATCAAATGGGTAATGACTTGTTGTTATTTCTTTATTTTATTCACTTTATTTATTAATTTTTTTAATAAATTTATATTTATTTATATATTTATTTTATTATTTATTGTCATATGATATGAGATGAGACAACCACGGTTTGAGGCAAAATTGCTTATAATGATATTGTAGTTTCCACAAGCAACAAAATGGTTAGATAAAATTACATGGGATAAGTGAGCTCAAGCATTTGATGAAGGGAAATAGTATGGACATATGACTACCAACCTTGCTGAGTGCATGAATTCAATTTTGAAAGGAGCAAGATCTTTACCTATAACTGCCTTAGTCAAAACAACATTTAAAAAAATTAATGACTTTTTTGTTGATAAAGGATTGCAAGCACTTCATATGATAAATGCAAGACATGTATATTGTGAAGAGTTTTATGTTATGATGTAAGAAAATCAATGTATTGCTAACACACGTTGAGGTTTAGGAGATTGCAAACTCTCAACTTGGCCAACATGTAATGGCCTATAGTGTTAAATTAAACGAATGGCGGTGTGATTATGGGGAATTTCAGGCACTAAGACTTCCTTGTTGATCCCATTTATAAGTTGGAAAACATTTACAAACCTTACGAACACGAGTTTCATCCCGCTCAAAATGAAGACTACTAGTCTTCATATTCAAACCCAAATTTTATGTCAAATCCTGTCATGCGACGAACCACATCTAGAAGGCCAAGTACTAGTCGTATACACAACGAAATGGTTCAACCAACACAAAACAAGTTAAAGAAATATTCATTCTATCGGACTGAAGGACATAATTATAGTAATTGTCCTTTTAAGAGAATTAATATGTAAAATATTATCTTTTAATTTCCTTTTATGGTTTAATTTAAATTTGTTAATTGCAATGTATCCATTTAATATTATTATTATGGTGTTTGTATTATAATTAATAAAATTATCAATATAATATTTATTATTTAATTTTTGTATTATTAAATTTATTATTATATAACAAATATTTTGATTTTATTAATAGTAATTTTATAAAATTTATTTTAATTTTAAAAAAATTAAATGTTAGGAAAAAAATTTAATAGTGAAGCAAACAATTTTGTAGGAAATTTATTTCAATTTTTTTAAAATATTATACATTATAAAAAAAGAAAGAAAAAAAAGGGAGTGGGAGTCGTGTTTTCAATCATAACTTCCATTTTTTTAAAAATAAAAAGTCGTGAGATAAACATGACTTCACTATTTTTGTAAAAAAAATTAAATAAATAAAAAATAAACAGTCAGATTTTTGAAGACAAGTATTTACAAAAGTCATGTTATTAAACATAACCTTGATTTTTATGTTAAATTTCGTGTATAACAAACACAACTTACCCATTCTTGAAATTTTTTTAAAAATTACACATTACAAGAATTTTGAAACAAAATTATACCATTACAGTAAAAAAAATCAAATTTGATGACTATGTGATATTTTTTTCATGAATAAAATAATAGATAAAAGATGACACATGAGCTTGCATAAGTATAATTATTATAGGTTGTTAATGGTCATAAAGGGTGTTGAACTCGCATCACGGAGAATGAATTAAAATAGGCTATTAATGGTCATAAAGGGTGTCGAACTCGCATCATGGAGAATAAAAGTTTAGACCAGATCTTGATTTATTTGTGTCAACCAACATGACCAACTCTTTGCTATTTTGAAATGGCCATTTTTGTTTATATTTACTATTTTTTTTTAAATAAACACTTCGTACTAGAGGTGAGCATGAGATAGGTATATCTTGTTCTTATCCAACCTAAAAAAAATTGACCGAATTATTTATTTAAACCTAAACTTGACTCAATCAAGACTCGAAATATATTGAACAAAATTGGGTCAACTCGATTTTTTAACTCAATATATTAATATTAACACATGTACAATTGAATTATAAAATAAATGAGAGTTATGAACTTAAGAATTCATTTCTCAAAATCCACTTCATACACCTTAACCTTCCTTGATCAACTCTCACACATTTAAGTTGTATCTTATATAATTTAAGCTCAAAGCTATCTCAACTCCAACTTCCACCTCACAAAGGCTAAAAACAACCAAACAACATTAAATATAATTTATAATTACATATTATAGAAACCAGATTTCATCCGGACGGCCACTACCAAGGACAAAGGGTTACTAAGACGACATGAGTAGCAATTGAGGACCCAATAAAGCACTGAAGCAGACTGGAATGACTCCAAAAGGCCCAAAAGCTTGAAATCTAGGTTTTATGCATGGAACGATCATTTCCAAACCAAAACAGGCCGTTCAAAATCATAAAAATGCCCTATAACCCTAATTAGGAACGACCCTTTTGAGGGTCCATTTTGTGTGCAAATTTATGAGCTAGAACAGCCATTCTAGCTCCAGGAACAGTCGTTCCACGTCTCTGACTCCCTATATAAGTGAGTACAAGGCACGCTTCTCCACACACACTGCTCAATTGACTTAGTCCAAGCAAAAACTTTTTCTTCTCTCTCTAGTCTTTCTTGAGTGTTTATGAGATTCCTATAGAGCGAAAGGCTGTCAAAATGTGCCTTTGTAACAAGATTTGAGATTCTTCTCTTCTATAAAGTTTTCTCTAGAGGTATTTTCATCAAAGTCTCTCTCTTCCACTCGTTGTAATTATATAATTATTTTATTCATAATATTACTGCCATCATGTAGACATTAAATATGTAGTAATTAATAAAAAGGGTAAACGTTTAAATTATTGTTCCTTATTATGCTAAAAACGTCATAATGCACCAAGATAGGACATTGTAGGATGTTTAATACTTATATACATGTAACTGACCCCCAAACCTAATTCTGGTTATGAAGGCCATAATCAATTTTCAAAAAACCTTTTCCCTTTTCCAATGTTTTGATGAAAATGTTAGTGGCAGCTCCTTAGAACCTTTTTTAAAAATCATTAGCCAAGGATTAGTATGATCTTTAGGCATTCCTTAGCCGATGAAAATTTCAAATTAAAGTCAAAACCATCTATGAGCAAGATCATAATTTTTCGGGTTTCGACACATATATCACAAATATACATAATTAAGAAAGAACTAGGTGTTACAATGTATGTGTGTGCATATATATATATATATATATA